GCGAGAGAGTCTCACTGTGTTGCCCTTGGTAGAGTGCTGTGGCATCACAACTCACAGCAACCTCAAACTCTTGGGCTTAAGCAATTCTCTTGCCTCAGCCTCCCACGTAGCTGGGACTACAGTTGCCCGCCACAACACTGGGCTATTTTTTCTGTTGCAGTTGTTGTTTAGCAGGCCCGGGTTAGGCTTGAACCCACCACCTTCCATGTATGTGGCCGGTGCCCTACTCACCAAGCTACGGGCACCAGCCAGGCCCATGAATTTCTTTTATACATATGGTAATAGTCATTCAGCCTATAGCTATACTAAACTCACTATTCAAAGTAAGATGGCAGGGATGGGTGTGGTAGCTCACACCTATAATCCCAGCACTTTGGGAGGCTGAGACAGGAAGATAGCTTGAGCCCATGAGGTGTAAAGCCAACCCTGGGCAAAGTTGTAAGACCTCATCTTCACAAAAATGATTTGTTTTAAATTAGTGAGTCACAGTAGTGCTAGCCTATAGGCCCACCTACTCAGGAGACTGATGCAGGAGGACTGCTTGAACCCAGGAGTTTGAGGTTGCTATTGAGTTACAATGATACTAGTCTGGGCAAAAGACCCTGCCTCAAAAAACAAAACACATGAAATGGTGACCTATACTCAGCAATGACAGACTCACCAGCACACCACTGTTCAACCAAAGAGAAACTGTCTTTAAAGTTCAGAGTGCTTCTAACATCCTTACTTACTGAGTCTAAATAAATAGGGGAAGATAATATGCCTTTCCATAGTACATCCTCAATGCTTAGGAACAGTTAAGTGATCATAGAATGACAATCTTTCAACCTACAGGTGATGACACCCTAGTATGGGAACTAAAATGAAAACAGTGATTACTTATCTCAGTGTCCTACAAAGAGATAGGCCTGTTTAGTGGACAATATATCTTCCCATCCTTATAAAAAATAAGCTGGAGGCTCGGCGCCTGTAGCTCAACCAGCTAAGGCGCCAGCCACGTACACCTAAGGTGGCGGGTTCGAATCCCCAGCCCGGACCCGCCAAAACAACAATGATGGCTGCAACCAAAAAAAATAGCCGGGCGTTGTGGCGGGGCCTGTGGTCCCAGCTACCTGGGAGGCGGAGGCAGGAGACTCGCTTGAGCCCTGGAGATGGAGGTTGCTGTGAGCTGTAATGCCACGGCACTCTGCCCAGGGGGACAGCTTGAGGCTCTGTCTCAAAAAAAAAAAAAAAAAATAAGCTGGAAAGAGACACTCTTGTATAGCTACTAGAAAGTATTCAGTTTTCATTCAAGAGCATCTCCAGAACCAGGAAAAATACTACATCCAAAATAAAATACCAAGTCAAGGTATATCACTGATCAAACTTAGAACTCCCAGCTTAGTGATAATTTCTCAAAGAAAACCCAATTCAAACTTAATTGTGTGGGATTCTTTTTCTTTAATCTTAAAAGCAGCAAATACTAGCAAAACTAGTCTCTTCCACATTAGAGCCGCTCCCTCCTCATCGGTGTCCCTCCCATTCATCCTGCCCTAAAGTATATGATCCTCTCAGGGAGTGGCATCACACCCATGGACCTAGAGAACAGAAGCCAGTGCTGTCTCAGCCTTGTCTCAGGCTTTCTCATGTGTAAAATAAACAGAAAAGTCAAGGAATTTCACTCATCTCTAAAGTCCTATATGCCCAGAGATCATTTCCTCCCAAAAAGATACTTCTACCTCTTTCAAGAGATAATTAGATAAAAGAGTAGGCCTGTGTTTTATTAGCTATTTTGCCAACAGGCCCAGATGCCCCTTTGAGAAACCACTGTAAAACAAGAAGGCAGCCTCCCTCAACCACTCAAAAACATCCCAACACTCGAATTCATTGTGTATTTGTAGAACAATGTTTCCAAAGTAATTGTTAAGGAGCAAATCCTGAGTCTATGTTATAGCATCCAAAACCAACCTCCATCCTCCTGAGTATGATATCCTTTTACTAAAGCCAACCACAGGGGCTAGGAATTAGAATTACTTACATGAAATACACACATCTCGAACTAAGACTTCCAAAAAACTGGCATAATATAGTGACTTTTCATATTGTGTAATTTTATCTTTTAGTAACCTTCCAAATTCTGTGAAGTCATCTCTTGAAGATGGGTTCATAGCATCTATTCCAAAAACTGTATTATTAACACCTGCAAGAGAGAAGCAGCAGTGAAAAAAATCAGGAAATCACGATCTGTTTTTTAAAGTTTACAAACCAATTAGCCATCTGAATCGCCCTATTATTTCACTTTAAAGCTGGGGTTCCATGGGACCACTGGAGTCATTGGACAGAATTTGGAGAGGGAAGTCTGCAGTTGAATGAGAAAAAGATTACATATGTATTTTTACGAACCTCAAATTTAACATTCCCATTAGTTTTAATTATAGGCAAAAAAAATCCCAAGGGTATTAGCAAAACCTGACTTACCAACAAATAGAGCTCATAAACACTTTCATATGACATTACAGATGTGCAGATATCTTATAATATTGTCATCATTACTCTCACATTACTTTTTTTTTTTGAGACAGAGCCCCAAGCTGTCACCCTGGGTAGAGTGCCCTGGCATCACAGTTCAAAGCAACCTCCAACTCCTGGGCTTAAGCGATTCTTTTGCCTCAGCCTCCCAAGTAGCTAGGACAACAGGAACTTGCCACAAAGCCTAGCTATTTTTTGGTTGTAGTTGTCGTTGTTTGGCAGGCCCAGGCTGGATTTGAACCCACCAGCTCTGGTGTATGTGGCTGGTGCCCTAGCCGCTGAGCTACAGGTGCTGAGCTACTCTCACATTACTTATTAGACCTGCCACTAGATCTTATTTAATGATTAATAAAGAAGTGCATGATTTTGTATCAAAACTCAGTATTCTAGTATTTTGGTATCTATTTCAATATTAATATGCTTCCATTGTAAATAAAATCCTATGTATTTTATTCATTTAAAAACATTCTAGGGGCAGTGCCTGTGGCTCAAAGGAGTGAGATGCCGGCCCCATATGCCAGAGGTGGCAGGTTCAAACCCAGCCCCGGCCAAAAACTGCAAAAAAAAAAAGAAAAACAACAAAAAAAAATTCTAGGAGGCCAGGCACGATGGCTCACGCCTGTAATCCTAGCACTCTGGGGGGCTGAGGCAGGTGGATTGCATGAGTTCGAGACCAGTCTGAGCTAAATCAAGACCCCCATCTCTATTTAAAATATAGGTAAGAGGATTGCTTGAGCCTGAGTTGGAGGTTGCTGTGAGCTATGACGCCATAGCACTCTACCCAGGGTGGAAAGAAAAGAACATTCTAGGCTGGGTGTGGTGACTCACAACTCTAATCTTAGCTCACTGAGAGGACTAGAGTGGGATGACTGCTTGAGCTCAGGAGTTTGAGACCAGTCTGAGTGAAAGTTAAGACTCCATCCCTATAAAAAATAGAAAAATTGGGCAGCACCTGTGGCTCAAAGGAGTAGGGCACTGGCCCCATATACCGGAGGTGGGTGGTGGGTTCAAACCCAGCTCCGGCCAAAAACTGCAAAAAAAAAAAAAAAGAAAAAGAAAAATTAACTGGGTATGATGGTGCATGCCTATAGTCCCAGCTATCCAGGAGGCTGAGACAACAGGGATCCCTTGAGCCTAGGGGTTTGAAGTTGCAATGAACCACAATGACACAAATGTATTCTTCCTGGGGCAACAAAGCAAGACTCTATCTCAAAAAAATAAATAGTTCTATGGAAAATAATATAGAGGCTTCTCAAAACTAAAAATAGGCTTGGTGCCTGTGGCTCAAGTGGCTAAGGTGCCAGCCACATACGCCTAAGGTGGCGGGTTCAAATCCAGCCCAGGCCTGCCAAATAACAATGACGGCTGCAATCAAAAAATAGCTGGGCATTGTGGTAGGTGCCTGTGGTCCCAGCCACTTGGGAGGCTGAGGCAGGAGACTCGCTTGAGCCCAGGAGTTGGGAACAGCTTGAGGCTCTGTCTCAAAAAAACCCCCAAAAAACTAAAAATAGAACTACTAAGTAGACTCAGCAATCCCACTGCTGGGCATATACCCAAAAGATGAGAATTTAGTACACTGAAAAGATACCTACACTCCCATGTTTACTGCCACAATATTTACATATGTGAGTCACTGCAAAATTTTGAGATAGACTGTGTTATGGTCCCTTATTTCACTTCTAAGAAACACATAAGTGACGCACACTTTCTCATTCACCTGTGCAAGTTTCAACTTGCTCAGCTTATACATGTTTCTGGGAGGGCTTCATTTGTTTCTGTCCATAGGAATTTTATGTTTCTTAACTTTTGTGTATCCCAAAACTTTTGTAACAACCCAGGTACAATAGCCAAGATATGGAATCAACCTAAGTGTCCATCAACAGATGAATGGATAAAGAAATTATGGTATATATACACATCAGAATATTACACAGTCACAGGAAATAATGAAATCCTGCCATTTACAGCAATATGGATGGAACTAGAGAACATTATGTTCAGTGAAATAAGCCAAGCACAGAAAGACAAAATTTCTATGTTCTTGCTTGTATGTGGGAGCTAAGAATTAAAAAATAATTGATCTCACGGAGACAGAGGAGAATGATGGTTACCAGAGGCTAGAAAGGGAAGTACATATGGTTAATGGGTGCAAAAATAGTTAAACAGAATAAACAGTATTTGATAACACAACAATAACTGTGATAAGTTAGGTTATACTTTACAATAAATAACTGAAAGAACAGAACTGGAATGATCCTAACACAAAGAAATACTAAATGAGTGAGGTGATGGATACCCAATTACCCTGATTTGATTAATTCTCATTGTATGCCTATATCAAAACATCACATGTACCCCATAAAGATACACACTGATATGACCATAATAATTTCTTTTTTAAACATATTGGTTGTGGATAGTGGCTTATGCCTACAATCCCAGCACTTTAGAAGACTAAGGCAGGAAGACTGCTTCAGGCTGAGAGTTCAACCAGCCTGGGCATCAAGGTGAGCTGCCATTTCTATAAAAAATTAAAAAATGACCCAAGCATGGTGGCATAAACTTATAGTCCCAACTCAGCTATTTGGGAGGCTGAAGCAAAAAGATCACATGAGCCCAGCAATTTGAGGTTACAGTGACTTACAATGGGGCTACTTCAGTGTGGGTAACAGAGTGAGACCCTATCGGTTAAAAAAAATTATATTATGAAGGAGCTGCTGAAGGCTCCATCAGCTCCCAAAGTAGTCCATGGCACAAAGCGGATGATCTTAAAAGGTTTGTCCAAGAACAGCCCCACAGTAAAGAGAAGGAAATATACAAAAGAAACATAAGATAGATGAATCCTGGGAAAATATTCATCTAACTTTAGAAGCTAAGCTGGGGTAAACTATGTGTTAAATCCAAAACAGAAGAAATCTGCCCTAAAAGAGTTCTAGATTAAGAGACTGGTGTGCTTCTGTATCTTTCTCAATGTCGAAGTACTAAGCTGCAAAAAAAAGTAACCAAAGACTGTAACATTTTTTTTCTGGGTGGCGCCTGTGGCTCAGTGGTTGGGGCACCAGCCCCATATGCCAAGGGTGGTGGGTTCGAACCCGGCCCCGGCCAAACTATAACAAAAAATAGCCAGGCATTGTGGTGGGTGCCTGTTAGTCCCCGTTACTCAGGAGGCTGAGGCAAGAGAATCACCTAAGCCCAGGAGTTGGAGGTTGCTGTGAGCTGTGACATCATAGCACTCTACCAATAAAGTGAGATTCTGTCTCAAAAAAATAGTAATAATAGTAAAAATAAATCAATAAAGTGAGACTCTGTCTCTAAAAAAAAAAAATAAAAATAAATAAAAATAAAAAATTAAATTATTTTCTTTTGAGACACAGTCTCTGTAACCTGGGCTAGAGTACTGTGACATCAGCCTAGCACACAGCAACTTCAAACTCCTGGGTTCAAGCAATCCTGAGTAGCTGGGACTACAGGTGCCTGCCACAACCCTGGCTAATTTTTCTATTTTTAGTAGAGACAGGGTCTCATTCTTGCTCAGGGTGGTATCAGAACTCCTGAGTTCAAGGAATCTGCCCACCTTGGCTTCCCAGAGAGCTAGGATTATGGGATGCAAGTTACCACACCCAGCGAGACTCAGTATTTTAGTATGAGAAACACAAACAGTAGAATCCTATTTAATACTGTCTGTATGACGCATAATGCATTACCTCTTAGCTTTTCAGTGGTGTCCCAAACAAAGCTTTATGCACGCTCCATAAACCTGCCTCTTTACTAAACACACAGGCAGCTTTTACCATCCTATGAAGATACATAATAATGGCTAAGTGACCTTTATAATTAAAACCTGCCAAGCATACAGTGGTTTACAGGGACATGCATAACACCTCTTAGGATTGTTAGAGGCCCAATGACAGAAAAGGTCATACTTCCCCCACAGAAAGGGAAAAGATCACTCCAGTCAGCCTGCTAGATCTGTTTCAGAGAAGATGTAAAAGGGTGGGGGCGGGGAATGGGGGCTATCAGAATAACTAGGTCCTTCCTTCTTGGTGACAGATTTGAAAGTTATTTAAATATTTCAACATGATCTTCTACTCTGAAAAGTACTCAATAGGAAAAAACAACAAACTTGGTTAAAGGAAGTGATTTTTTTTTTTTTGAGACAGAATCTTACTTTGTTGCCCCTAGTAGAGTGCTGTGGCATCTCTCACATCTACCTCAGACTCTCGGGTTCAAGCGATTCTCTTGCCTCAGCCTCCTGAGTAGCTGGAGGTGCCCGCCATAACACCCAGCTATCTGCAGACAGGGCCTTGCTCTAGCTCAGGCTGGCCTCTAACTCATGAGTTTATTAGGAGATGGATCTGCCTCAGCCTCCCAGAGTGCTGGGATTACATACATGAGCCACCTCACCCGGCCTAAAGTGACAGTTTTAATTGTTTTTCTGGTATGTCTCTTACTCCACCCACTGTGTCATGGAACTCTCATCTGGAACACTGCAAATGTTACTAATTTAAGGATCCTGCACATTTCTTTTATCTCATGCACTAACCACAGCTGCAGGCATGGTGCACAGAAATGGAGGCCCTCAAAAGATATGGCTTGGTAAGGCCCAAAAAGGGCCAGAGAAAGAAACAGCCCTAAGCACGACAAGGCACAATCAAAGCTGAAGGTCCTACCTGGGCCAGTATCCTATTTAGTCTTACCTAGACTAAAGACAACAGGATAACCCTACAGTCATTCCAATATTTAGATTTCAAAGTTATAAACCTCAACATTTCTTCCAAATTTCATCCAGCTGATAAATATATTCTAGGGAATTAGGGTACTTTGGGTCTAATGTTTTTACATTAATAATCTTTTGATACTCAAAACCAGGGGTCCTCAAACTTTTTAAACAGGGGGCCAGTTTACCGTCCCTCAGACCGTTGGAGGGCCAGACTGCAGGCCCCGGGACAAGTTGGCTGTTAAGCAGGACAAGCAGCGGAGGCAAAAACACCCGGCGGGCCGGATAAATGTTCTAGGGGAGCCGCATGTGGCCTGAGGGCTGTAGTTTGAGGACACCTGCTCAAAACAATTATTCAAAAATCTGAACATGCAGCAATAGCAATACCCCATCTCTACTAAAAATAGAAAAACTAACAGAGCACTGTGGCAGGCGCCTGTAGTCCCAGCTATTTGGGCGGCTGAGGCAAGAGGATCTCTTAAGTCCAAAAGTTTGAGGTTGCTGTGAGCTGAGTACAATGACATCACAGCCTTCTGAAGTGATAAAATCTCAAATGTACAAAAAGAGATTTAAAACTGCTTTCTAATCTCTAAATTAACTAGCATAATGTTTCTTTTTAAAAAGGAGATGTTTCCTGAACTTTCATAACTAGTACAACTTATGGAGTTTTCACTAGAACAGTTCAATATTGCCCTGAAATCATATTCTCATCTTACCGAAAGTTTCCTTTGCTAATTCAAGGTCTGACTCTTCCTGCAATTTCTTTAACCGCAGTTTATCTGCTAATTGTTCTTCCGGTGTTAGCACTTTAGGTTCTTCAGGTTCTTCTAACTAAAATGAAACAAAAGATTTTTAAAAGGGCTGGGATTATGACAGACCCAGAACACTTCTGTATAAATTTCTAAGTACATGTAATTATAAATAACAGCAAACACAAATTGGTTACTATATTTCAAAAGGCATTCTTCTAAATATTTTGGGTATTCTTTAACCTAATTTTACAGATTAAAAAATGACACAAAAGACGTTAAATAACCTGCTGTGAGCACAAGGATGTCTACTGGAATATTATTAAAGTTTCAAATAAACTTATGAATAACCTAAATGTCCAAAAACAGAATGGTGAAAGTGTGTCACACCTATAGGACAATATCCTGTACACATAAAACAAAGGTATTTCTCAAGAAAAAATATATATCCCCTTATCATATACTTATAAAGTTATCATTGTAACAATTTTTTTTTTTTTTTGAGACAGAGCCTCAAGCTGTCACCCTAGGTAGAGAGCTGTGCCATCACAGCTCACAGCAACCTCCAACTCCTAGGCTCAAGCCATTCTCTTGCCTCAGTCTCTCAAGTACCTGGGACTACAGGTGCCAGCCACAACGCCTGGCTATTTTTTGGTTGCAGCCCTCATTGTTGTTTGGCGGGCCCAGGCTGATTCAAACCCGCAGCTCAGGTGTATGTGGCTGGCAGCGCCAAGCCTATTGTGACAAATTTTAAAATACTTAATAGTAGTTGTCACTTATTTCCCAATCTCACTCCTCTGAGGTGACAGACAATAAATAGTTTAGTGTATAGCATTTCTAAATACAGTGATATAAATTTCTATAACAAAATCTACGAAGTTGGGTGGTGCCTGTGGCTCAGTGAGTAGGGCACCAGCCCCACATACCAAGGGTGTTGGGTTCAAATCTGGCCCCGGCCAAATTGCAACAAAAAATAGCTGGGCATTGTGGTGGGTGCCTGTAGTCCCAGCTACTCGGGAGGCTGAGGCAAGAGAATCACCTAAGCCCAAGAGCTGGAGGTTGCTGTGAGCTGTGACGCCACGACTCTCTACTAAGGGCAACAAAGTGACACTCTGTCTCTTTAAAAAAAAAAAAAAAACTACTAAGTTTACTGTGAGGGAAAATCTTGAGAATATTTACTGGAGAAAAAGTGAAGGGACTTTGTGTTCTTCATGATTATCCATGGCTAGGCAGTTTGAAGATTCTGATTTGGAAATCTGCTTCTAAAATAGGTATTTTATTTCTCACAGAGAAAAAGAAATGAGACAGACAGTATGGCAAGTTAGAAAATCTCACAACACTTCAAAAAAAAAAAAAAAAAAAAAGGGAGGCTCAGCGCCTGTAGCTCAAGCAGCTAAGGCGCCAACCACAAACATCTGAGCTGGTGGGTTCGAATCTAGCCTGGGCCCACCAAACAACAATGACAGCTGCAACCAAAAAATAGCCAGGCATTGTGGCGGGCGCCTATAATCCCAGTTACTAGAGAGGCAGAGGCAGGAGAATCGCTTGTGCCCAGGAGTTGGAGGTTGCTGTGAGCTGTGATGCCACAGCATTCTACCCAGGGGGACAGCTTTTTTTTGTCTCAAAAAAATAAAAATAAAAGAGAAATATTTTGATTTAAATATCTTAGCAGACCTGGATATCAGGTAATTCCTGCCTGAAAACTGAAAATATCTCAACTCCATGCTTGGCCTACAAATAAAATATGTACACTCAAATTAAGGCTTCTTCATATAGATTAGTATCAAGAATGTAATAACTTGGGCTTGCTTTGGCAGCATACATACTAAAATTGGAACAATACAGAGAAGATTAGTGTGGCCCCTGTGCAAGAATGACACGCAAATTCGTGAAGCACTCTATATTTTTGTAAAAAATAGATCACAATTATAGCCCAGGATGATGGAGAGAAGTGAAGTGGGAGGGGAGGGGAGAGAGAAGGTTTGACAGAGGGAGGGTAAAAGGTGGAATCACACCTATGGAACATATGACAAGGGTACAAGTCAAATCTGTGAAATGTAGAACATAGATGTTTTGGCACAATAATCAAGTAAATGAGGTGAAAGCTATGTTGATTGGTTAAATGTAATCACATTAGATTGTATAAAAAAAACAAAATGAGCACATTGATAACTAAGAAAAAGACATGAAGGCTATGTTAACCAGTTGGATGAAAGTATTTCAAATTGTATATAGCAACAGTACACTGTACCCCATGATAGTATTAATGTACATTGCTATGATTTAATAATAAAAAAAAACATCAGCACATTGTATTACCCCACATATGCATGAACATATCCATGATCTATGTGTATTTGACTTCATTAAAAAAAAAAAAAAGAACGTAATAACTTAAGTATAATTCTAACCTAAATTTCTTTTTTTTTTTTTTTTGAGACAGAGCCTCAAGCTGTCCCACTGGGTAGAGTGCCGGAGCATCACAGCTCACAGCAACCTCCTACTCCTGGGCTCAAGCGAGTCTCTTGCCTATGCCTCCCAAGTAGCTGGGACCACAGGCACCCACCACAACTCCCGGCTATTTTTTGGTTGCAGCCATCATTGTTGTTTGGCAGGCCCAGGCTGGATTCGAACCTGCCACCCTAGGTGTATGTGGCTGGCGCCTTAGCCACTTGAGCCACAGGCACCGAACCCTAACCTGTATTTCCAAGAAAGATCCAATCAATACAACTCCTCAGACTGGGTTATACGACTCTATACTCCTCAGACTCTTGGTTATACGATCCCAAGAATTTGAGGTTGCTGTGAGCTATGACACACACCACTATGTCACCCAGGGCAACAGCTTGAGACTGTCTCAAAAAAAAAAAAAGAAAAAGAAAAGAAAAGCTCAGGGCTCAGTGCCTGTGGCTCAAGTGGTTAAGGTGCCAGCCACGTACACCCAAGGTGGCGTGTTCGAATCCAGCCCGGGCCGGCCAAACAACGACAGCTGCAACCAAAAAATAGCCGGGCGTTGTGGCGGGCACCTGTGGTCCCAGCTACTTGGGAGGCAGAGGCAGGAGACTCGCT